CTGGATAATTTAAAGTAAACAATTTGTTTATTGGACAAACTAACCTTCTTAGTTGACTGGACTGCCATATTTATTTGAGTTAAATACCAACATACTTATATTTAAGGTTCATTTTGTTGAAATAAAAAAGAGGATTTATGAAAATCATTTTATTTTCAATTTTTTTCACAAAACTGGGCTCAGTTATACACTAAGTAACAAACTCCTATGAGATTCAAACATAAGATGTCTTCTTAAACAAATTTGATTTGGTAACCTAAAAAAATGATGTTTGCATTGTTGTTACCAAAATATTTAAAAAAATACAGTGTTTCTACAATATCCCTCCAGGTATTATACAGAGTGAAAAAAGTTAAATATATAATCCGTTGAAACAAGCCACTTTTCTATTAACTTTTTTCCCATATCTGCAGAAAAACAAGAACTATCTGTAATAACCTGGGGAAATATAAAACTGATGTGGAGACCCAATATGAATTTGAAAAAAGAAAAAAACTTTTTTCTAAAACAACTTAAATAATAATTCACTTGGTAGCTACATAAACATATTGCTGTAAAACAAAAATAACAAAATATAAAAGATATAACTAAAAAATAACAATTCTTGTTTGAAACAACTGCAAAATTGGATAGGTAATACAACCGACATAAATATAAAAATTTTAATATAAAAATATGCATCTATATCTATGTTATTTCACTGACGATATTGGAGAAATAACCGTTCTCCCACAACCAGTATAATGGATGGAAAGGGAATATTGAGATCATTCAAACGTAAACATGGTGTTTTTTAGTCATCAATACTTCATAGGCCTGAAATTTTTCGCTAAACCCCAGTGTAAGGAATTCAGCTAATACAAAAAAATAGATATTATTATCCATATAAATATGCTTAATTAGTCCAAACTTAGGTACAATATCGGAATCATCTACTTGAACTGCAAACCCCAATTTATAAAAAATATTATTAACATTAACCCAGGAAACAGTTATTGCGTCTTCAGTGAAATTCAAATTTTGCTCAAAAGTAGAAAATTCTGTTTTAGAACATATAGGTCCAGTTTGTATATTATTCAAAAATTCTTGTCTACCCAAAATTTTACTTGAAAATCGAAGGGAATCTTTTATAAAGGGGAGAAGCTTGTACCTTGGGCAGGATTTTTTCGAGACGTCGTTATATTCACATTGTTGAATTTTAAGGTAAACTTTTTGGGCTAACTTGTATGTTATATATAGTAGAAATTACATAGTAATATTAGTTAAACAATAGAACACATTTATTTTGGGATTTTATTTATTATTACGAATTTGGCCCAAGGTACAAACACATAGTGTACCTTGGACCAACTAGTCTTGTACCTTGAGGCATTTATACAAATTTAAAAATAAATGTAAAAAAACTATTTCTTACTATTCAACATTGTACTTCTCAAAATCTAAATCGAAAATATGTATCCCTTTTTGCCTTTCGGACAATCCTGCCTGACGTGGGGGTGCAAGTTTGAGCAAAACGTCTTCAATATCAATTTGAAATTGTTGACCACTTGGGCCAGAAAATTTGTTGCTGGTGAGAATTCTTTTCAAGTATTGGACCATTAAACAGGGACTTAGAACAGTTACTTCGGCAACATAGAAATGTATTTTTTTTTCCCTGTTAGTTTTGTGAGACAGAAATCACCTATTGCTAAATCGGTAATTTTGACTTCTGTGGGTTTAGCCTGACATTCTTCTATGGGATCAATTTCAAAATCATCTTCAGCATCTAAGTCTGAATCGTCATCATAGACAACAATGTCTTCAGAATCTTCATCTGAGGATGATGACGACGATGACGACTGTAACACCTTTCTCTTCACAATTTCTTTCTTTGCTGCTTTGGGCGTTTTTGTAACGCTGTTTTTGTTAGCTTCAATTTCCATTTTTTCAGGCGTGTCAGTTAATATTCGGGATTTTCCTTTTTTTCGTCCTTTTGCGGAAGCTTTTCTTGGAGCAGCTTGTGGAAATGGACGAATCATTTCTGGTGTGATTATTGCATGTGATGTGGATGGAGTAACATTTTGTGTGGACGGAGTCGTGTTTAATCTGGAGGAAGCAGCGTTTGGTGTGGATGTAATAATGCTGGATGGAGTTGCAACAGTATATGATGCAGTTGTAGGAATGCTTGTTGTGGATACGGTTGCTAAATGTAAAGATGGGGTTCCTGATGGGGCTCCTTGGGATGTAGATGGGTCGTCATATGGCCGATCAGTTACTGATGATCCCATGAATTCATGCTCTTGAAAGATATTCTCATTAAACGGCCAAATACCTGATACTCTAAAATCGGACTGAATGTTTGAAAGTATGAAGGCTAAAGGGTAGGCTATTCCTGATATTTCGGCCACATCATAAATTGAAATAGGTTTTCCAGGATGAGAACGCATTCAGTCGGCGCATGCTGTGTTGTAGTATGTTTTGTAAGGCCCAAATACGCTTCGGTCTAGCGGTTGGAGCTTGTGACTTGTGTGAGGAGGTAGGGTAAGCATTACTATTCCGTTTTCTCTTGCGAAATCTATTGCCTCGATGTTAATATGGCTTTCATGGTTATCTAGGATAAGTAGCACCTTATTATTAAAGGAACAATTTACATGTTTCAGAGAGTGGTGAAGATACTGTAGAAAGATTGTTTTGTTAGACCAGCCACTGGGGTGAGCAGATCCAATGGAACCAGGAGGAGCACCTTTAATCATGAAGTCTTTATAATTTACTCTCGGAAATATATATAAAGGTGGCACACTGTTTCCTATGGCATTCACGCATGCAATAATAGTAACATTGACACCTCGTTCACCTGATGTTGCGCTTCCAACTTGTTTCACCCCTTTACAGGCCAAAATCTTATCTGAAACCGAAAAAAAAAAAATTTTTGTGAAACCATCCGCAAAATAAGCTTTCGCGGCCGCCACACAGTCCGCGAAATTCAATTTCGCGACCGTTGCCCTTGGTGACGGCCGCGAAACTATAAATCAAAATTTGACACTTTGACAACAACAATGAGTAAATTTTATTTCCAAATTCTTCAGAACAACATAAATTATTTAGGATAAATATTAACACTAACATGACAGTTTGCATTATTACTAATATTTACTCCTGAAGCTGAAGCAACTAATAATCCAGTGTTTTTGAATTGACCCCTCAAAACCTCCCATTTCTGCATTAAATTAGCCAATATGTTTTCAGACACCATTTTGACGTTTTTTTTGTCACACCAATTTTTTGAACTCGCAGTAACAATTTTCATATTGCCGCTTAGTTTTCCAGGTATTAACTCAGAAATAGCTGATTGAACCACATTTTTTAGGTCTGGAGGAGTGCAAAAGAGTGAAATATCTGTATCGCTGTCGGATATTTTCACGATTTTTTGAGAACAGTCATTTTTTTGTATATTTGTTTACTTGCAAAATATGTCATCCATGACATCCATAGAAACGCTGTGCCACTAGGTTATACATCAAACTGGTAATTAGTTCCACATGTTTGTTGTTGAAAGGAGTAAATTTTTTCTGTAATTCCACATAATTTTCATGGTTGCACAAAAAATAGTGTGTATACCATGACCGCGAAACTTTTTAGCGTCCTCGAGGTTATCTTGCCTCGGCCGCAAGCGGCCTCGGCGATAACTTTTCTCTACGTACGCCAAAAGGCAGTTCGCGGCCTTCGTATACAAATAACTAATAATAAAGGACTGAAATTTTCCTGACGATGTCAAAAACAAGATAGTGAGAAAAATATTAATTTACCTGGCATATGAACGTTTGTGTTTCCGCTTTCATCTAGATTGTAAATTTTATCAGCAGTAAACTGATGCTTTTGCAAAACCCCCCTGAGCTTCTCGAAAAAAGTGGAAACGTTGTGCTTGTTGAAGCTTGTGGACCGGGCTAAACTTGTCGCTTGTGGTTTTCTTAAGCTTATTGTGTTTCTGCGCTTCAAAAAATTCAAATACCATTGCTTTCCGGCGCGACGTTTGTTTTCCCAAGAAGCAGGGATAGTTTTATTGTTTGCCTTGGCAAAGTCGTAGGCAAGGACCTGAAGATCTCGACGGGTAAGGCCATAATGCATATGAGATGCTGTGAGGAGATACTCGCACAAGCTTTTTTCCTCTGCTTCCGAAAACACTTTTTTAACCGCACAATTTTCGTAAGATTTGTAAGCTACGTTTTGCTCAAGTTTGATCAAATACCTTTTTAGTGTAGATCGGGACACTTTAAAGTCTTTAGATGCAGTACGCACTGAAATATGTTCATTTTGTACAGCATTTGCTGCGGATTGTAAAGCGGCAAGGTCGGGGCGTTTTCTCTTTACACCCTGTTTACTTCTTGGCATCTAAAAAAAAATATCCATGCAATTATACATCCGAACAAAAAAGTCAAAACAGCGATTGTACCTTGGACCATGGCCCAACGTACAAGACAAGGCCATGGTCCAAGCCTATTAGATATAATAAACAAATATTTTTCTAACCTATATAAACAAAAAATGAAAAATGGAAAATTATCAATTTAATTTCTCTACATACCTAAGTTTAACATAGGGCATGCGAATTTTTAATTTATGTATTGTAAAACTGAATAGAAAACTTTAAAATCACATCAAAATACTTACTTTTGGAGGTACTTAAAACATACACTCGCTCACAAGACAACCGTTTCACAGAACTCATTTAAACAACGTGTCACGCATTGGCGGTGGAAGTGATAACCAACAAAACAGAATTTGACAGAGATTTACGCGCCAAATTTGAAATTACACATATGGTCCAAGGTACATCATGGGTCAAGGTACAAGCTTCTCCCCAATATTGTTTGCAAAATGTTTTTTCTGCTAGAAGTGGCATTGATAATAGATTTTAGTTTCTTATGAAATGCTTCATATGGCATGCACCAAATATTCCTAATTGGACCAATATTTGATATTATGTTAGGGTAGTGGAGAAGTAAATGATATTTGGGTTTTAATTATTCATTAAATATTTCCAAAAATGAATTGTGGTGTTCTTCAATAAGAACACCTAGATATTGAAGCTTCACTTTTGTAAAATATCGACTTAGTAAAATTTCCATCATTTCGAAAATTTTTACATAAAATTTCCAAGTTGGTTCCTCACTGGGAACTAAGTCGCCAATGAGAACTCCAAAATAAGTTGTCAAAGACAGCATTTCAGCAGCAGAAATTACTATACATTTATTTTTTAAATGGGTCATCTTAATTTGAGGCATTGGATTACCAACGTTACATTTAGAAAATTGAAAGAATTTTATTCTTTCATTAAGATTCTCCAAAGTGAAAATTTTTTTGTTAATCAAATCGTTAATTATTAGTGCTATATCGTAGCGAAGGACACCTTCTAGTAAATCATGCATCAAATCTACATATATATTCTGAGTAACGTCAAAATTGGGTAATTTGTTCCAAACACAAACTTCTTTAACTCCACGACTTAGCTCATATATAAGTGTCGAAAAAAAATTTTCATTGCCATAAGTAGACCTGTCATTCGAATAGAAGAGCTGTGAAAGAAATATATTTTCTAATGATGAAGCCTGTTCAGGAGGAATACAAGCTAGAGATATATAAACAGCGCCTACTTTATATAATCCCGCCCTGGATCCTAAAGAATTACATGGCTCAAAATCATCAATCAAAAACAAGGAGAATGGGAAAACTGTTCTGGTACCAAACTTTGCTTTCATTTTGTTCCATAAAGCTCCTTGATAAACACTACTTAAAACTTCTGGAGTTGCAGTTTCCTTCTCAATAAATAACAAAATATTTGAATAAACATTCGGTAATTCTAAAAAATGTTTGAGTTTTGTTTTAAGGCATATCTTTTTCACTTCTGCGTTTTTGATAATAACTTCAAGAGCTTCTGTTGAACTAATATTTGACAGTGTGGTCCGAGTGCCAATATAAAATGATTTTGGCCTGAGAAAAGTTTCTGAATTTTTAAAATATTTAAATCTCATGTGTTCAGTTTTAAGCATTTGAAATTTTTCATTTATCTTTGAAAATTCATCAGCCACTATAATTTTTCCAGCAAAATTTTGATTACTTGATAATCTATTGCATACAACGTTAAATATATCTTCAACAAGCTCCTGGCTGTTATCAATTATTGTTTGTATCAAATTTCGTGGTAAAGATGAATGATTGTAAAGCCTAGATATATTTTTTACAACAAAGTCAGCATTATTACTATTATCAAAGTTTTCATTAATTTTAGAAGTTGATGGCACTTCCGAGGGTGCTTCATAATAATTATTGTCAGGTGTGGATGCGTCACATTTATTATTTGTATTATCATTTTCAATAATTTCATTTTTTGAACAGCTGGAACTTTTATTTTCATGCTTAGTAGGAATAGTTTTTTTTTTCATTACCATTTGAATGTTCGTAGCGATAGTGTTTTTTAACAGTTTAACAGTTGAATGATCGAAAGCAATTTTCTTGTGCACACTCATATTTTTGAATATATAGATAGGAATTTTTGATGTGCGTTATTAAAGTGAGAAAGGATAAAAAAGATCTTTTACATTTAAAACAGTTATAATGAAGTCTGTCCATTTCAGAAGTCACTGAAATTAACTTTCATGAAATTACTTATTTTACTTGATCAAAACTGATCCTGGATAAATGTTAATAATATTTTTTTTTTTTTTTAACTTTCATGAAATTACACAAATTGATTCAACCAGGGGATTTGCATATCTTTTTTGGTTTTGTATTTATAGATTTTCCATTGGATCAAATACCATATATGCATTGACTCATAAGGATACTGGGCATCTAGCACGTGAAATGCTTTAAAGCAATATTCAATTGTATCTATTACCGAATTTAATTTAAATTCAATATTATTAATAATAACAAAACTATTAATAATATTGTTTAAATTGGGTCCCAGCAGTAATATATAGGGTTGTACTGTAAGCCCCTTCTTGAACATATCATTTACCCGCGGTTCTTTTACCTTCTCGATATCGCCAGGAGTCTTAACTAATTGCAAAATTGCATCTCTACATTCAGTTATTGAGGGCTTCCACAGCTTTTTCGAGTTTCCTATCTTCGAGCGTCCTCTTGGAGGCAATAAAGCGCACAACAAGTATAGCTGGATTGCAGTTCTCGAATCTGAAGCAGAAATACAAATACAAATTTGAACAACAGTTAGTGTTGAATCACTACTTAATATATTTTCTTGGTCTAATGATAGTCCAGATGTTGATTGCAGAATTATAAACGGAATATTGTCTAAACTACTGTCAAGCTGCACAGGTTCGTTCGCATTCAGTCCCTCATCGTCATCAGTATTCTCTTTTTCTGTCCCATCGTGAATGTCTCGAATCTGATCCACCTCAGTGGCACTTTTAAAAATTTTCGCAGGTGGTTCCTCTGATTCTGATGCGCAGTTTCTGTCCTAAAATTAATTAAAACTGTTTTTTTTTTCTCAAATAAATAAGAAGTATAAAAAAACTCTTACTTTTAACAATCCAATCACTCGCTTTAATCGAATTTTATCTCCAATTACTCCCTTCGTTAATGTGGTTAAATCGTTTTCTTCTAAGCGACTCAGAACCTCAATGTCATCAAGATTTTGTTCTGAAATAAATTTTCTGCATAAAAAAATTTCATTCAAAATCAATTAGGTACAAAATTTTAGTCTAACTGAAAACTGTTTTTAAGGCAAAAATAAGGAACAAGGTTTGTATATCTTTTGGAATATTATTTTCTTATTATGAAGGTATAATGTATTTAAAGCAAAATAATTGACATTTGGAACAAAAAAATAGGTATTCGATTTAAATTAAAAAATACAAAGTATGAATAATAAATTATTCACTACAAGTTGATATATAGTTGTTTCAAATAAAATTTATTTGAAACAAATAAATAATTTTTTGATGAAGGAAAATAGTTGCCATCAAAATACTGATGGGGCAAAAAATGTGAAATGGCGGCTCTCATACTGGGGCACAACAAGCAACAAGTACCTTGCAATGCAATAGGCAATACGCAAAGATATTTTAAATAAACGTAAAATACTTCCAATATTATTGCTTATTGCCTGGTTCAGGTAGAAATATGCCCCCAATAAAAATTACATTGGCCAAGGCGAGGTATTTTTTTGTTCCTGGAAAAACCATCTTGCTGAGATTTTTTGCATGATTTGGAAATATTGTGAATTATACCTATTATGAAGGAATTATAATTTTAACTTACCTTGTATTAAAGGCCACAGATGTTGCACACCCGCTTCTGCCAACAAATTTTCCATCTTGTGGAAACCACTCCGAAAAATAAAATTTAAAACTCACACCATCCGACGCGTGCCAAACCAACAACAGCAATCAGCGATGAGCGGCAAGGGGATCGATGCAGAGGGATGCAGTAGGTACTCGGAACTCGAACATGCGCGTAAATTGCCGAATGTCTACACAGATACCAGTTATTTGAATTTTGGTCATGTTTATTTAGTAAAAACTCCAAGATATTCAATTTAAAGCAGCTGTTATTTCGTTTAAAAAAACTGAATATATTATATTTATGGCGTTCGTTCTAAACACATATTTATTTAATAATGCATCTCGTATCACTTTAACAAGTCAAACAAATAATTTGAAAAAACCAAATACACAGATTTATTTAAACCAAATACATTGTCTTTGGTTTAACTAATCATTATTTGGGTGAAATAAAAAAAAATCAAATAAATATTTATTAGGCAAATTTTTCATTAATTCTTTCAGTGTAGCTAGACCGCGTTCGCATGAGCGTTCGTTGATGGTTCGCATCGTCTCGTTGCTAATCGCTATACGCCGCATCCTGCGTGCAAGCAAGGCATTTATTCCGTGAAGGGTGAAGTTGTTTTTACTTAGCGCATTTATTTACTATAGGTTTTTTAAAAAAAACCTTGCTTCGTTTTATTTATTTAATTTTTAATAATTTATAGGATGGCATCATTCGTAGTAATCACCTTAAAACCACTCTACATCATAAAACAGAAGCAATCACATAGCATATTTAACCTGAATCTATCATACACAACAACAAACAACATACCTACTAACGTCGCAATCGCAAAACGGCGTATGGAGCCAAAAGAATCATGACGTCATTCGCAGTTTTCATTCGCAGTTTATATTCACAGTGAATAAAAAATCGCATTCACAGTTATCGCGACTTAGCTCATCTCTAGTATTCACCAACGACCGCTAACTGCTTATCGATCTGATAAACTGCTTGTCAGACTGTTAACGTAAAATTCGGTATTCACCAACCTTGAGTAGTAGATATCAGTCTGATAAAGTTGTCAGGCGAAATTTGGGCTGTTAAGGAAGTTATCTGTCTGATAAGTGTTGTTATTGTTTTTTTTTTCAAAAAAAAATCGAATGTATCCATAAATTGGAAAGAATGGATGGTTCGTTAAATTTTAATTTGTGGTAGGTACTTTATAAGTTTTTATTTTTTGGCAAAATAAACAGAATGGATGAAATCAACCTGGAGGTTCATTGGATGATCCATATATCTGATGAAGATCTTCCCAGGCCCAGAAATGTGAGGGCAATAATTTATTCACTGAATTGGATGATTTGGAGTTTCATAAAAGATTCAGAATAAACAAAAATAGCTTTCAACGGCTGAAAATAAACCTCCGAACACTGAACCTAGTCTTGGAGCCATTGCAGACGAAACCAATCTAAAAAAAAATCAGATTTTAATTGCAACCGGGTCTTTTCAACTTTGTATTGCGGTGATCATTTCAATGTTTCACAATAATCACAACCCACTGTACTGTATTGGTTATGGTTTTCTTATTCCCGATTAAATATTTCTCAACCGAAGAAATGAGAATTTCTTTTTCGCGACCAGAAAGCTGCTCCGTTTCTTTTTCCATTTGGTATTCGTATACGATAATTAATTATTATTAGACAAATTATTTAGGATTAGGAAGTTGTTTACTTGTTTCACAGCCCAAGAAAAATTATTATTAATAAATAAATATAATACCGACAAATTTTGAGGTTGTTAAATGAAATGAAGAGAAAAACTGTTCATAGAATATATGGATTTTTATTTTTATCAGTCTGTTTGTTGTCAGAAGGACCATTTTTATTGGTGAATAGCAATTGCTGTTATCCGACTGATAAATGTTAACAGACTGACAGCTATCAGATAACTAAGTTGATTTTGGTGAATATGGGCGTTTGTCCTTTCGAAAATAAGTTACGTCTGGGGGTTCTGGGATCTTGGACTCAAGAGTGGCATCCGTTGTATTTTTACTGGACGGAAACCGTACCGACTCTAACATAAAATGTTATGAGAAAATAACAAACCACAACAAACGTTGACAGTTCGTTCTGTAATTAGCCATGCGGCCAGATGCAAACAAAGGATATTTTCAACAATCAAAGCTACTTAGGAAAATACAACACTGTATATATGGTTGACACGCTTATTGATTGAACGGATATAAATAGTGGCCGGCAACACACAGATAGGCAGACTAGGTTCCTCTTTTGGGAAAGCTCCTCTGGCCTCAAGTCTCTACCCAGTGCAATTACTTCTTTGGGGAAAACCCCTCGGGGTGTCTTCAGTCTTCGTGTCGGCCAGCGCAATTACCTCTTTTGGGAAAGCCCCTCTGGACGACCCTTACGTCAGCGAATCGCACTTGAAGTAGCCTTGTGTCTTTTAAGTAGTTCGCCGATGCCCCTATAGAAGAGGCACTATCAACCTTTTGGTAATTCCAACCTATATTCTACTCCACCATATATAAATATAATATTAATATTAATCAAGCACCAAGCGAGTCTCTATAAATCTGACCCTTTTTTACGCACCCTTGCCACGACAAAAGATAAATGTTGAGTATTGTCACAAGATAAATAAGTAGTGTCTAAAGAATTGTATGCCAGGAGACTCTCTAGCATTTGCACGAAGACATCATCGACGAGTTATTCAATATTCATCGCATCAATTGACCTTTTCGATTTCGTTAGGATCAGTTGGACAGAACATCTTACTGAGTCAGGAATGTTTATATTTGGAAGATAAGACAGATGCTCCTCAATAGGATGCAGATCCTTGGTTAGATTAGCAGCAACAATCGTTCGATAAATTAGCAGGCATATTATATCCGGCGATTTTTTGACTTGGCTTTTCGTATGACGAGACGGCCTTGCATTTATCCGGCGTGTGCTTGGAAATGTGGGATTGGAGCCAAGGGGTGCATGATTATCTTCTCTTAAGACCGCTTAGGATCCTAGGGTTAGATGGGGTAATGGTAACCAGAGGTCAGCCATTTTTTCCGATCAATGCGCTTTGATTTTTGGAGACGCTCAGGAAAGAACTTTGAGAAAAGGCTTTGTATGATGACATCTGTGAGAGTCATCTGAAAGGCTCTCAATGAATCTGCATATTGAAGAACATTATTCCAGATTAAAAATTCCTAGAACTGAAGAAAACGTTCAAAATTACGCCTGGTGTGGATCCTAATACCTATATTTGAAGGTGAGTTTTTTTTGGCCAGAATGACCTTATGATTACAGAATACATCTACAAGTTAAGAAGCAATATAGTCCATTGTAGTGGATGAATTATTATGAGTGACACTGGTAGCTTAGTGAACATGCAAGCTAGAAGTTAAAATTTTGCAGACTCAAGGTTGATCAGTCCTCATGTTCCCGAAATCAATTTTCCAGTCAACAGCGTGTACAACCCTATGATCCAAAGGAAATCCAGAAAACAGGTTCTTCAGTCTCACCAAGAACAAAACCACATTGAGAATGTGTGGTCGAAAAATTCACACAATAAAACACTTCAACAAGTGAAGTGAATAATAGAAAATTCCAATTTCTTCCACAGCAAACCATCCATTAAACTTGCCAAAAGCACAGAAACTCTGAGAAAGGTGTTAGCAGAGCTCAGGAATCGCTAGGATACCAGCCTAAAAACATAGGAAAATTTCAAAATTGAAAAAAGGATAAATTCATTATTTTAATATGGGGATAAAAGCACTTGGAAGCCATACCAGTAAACTCTTCAAGCTACTCTCAACACACTACACACTATATTTATTGACATTAAATAATAGTTAACTAAAATGTCTCGCATGGTACTTCACCATGTTAGTTCGAATTGTTTAGACCACATTTAAGCATCCCAATAGTGACCCTAGTCACATGACATAAGTCATGAAGTAAATGTTGTATGCGTTCTTGTATGTTAATACCTAACAGGCCATTGGCTCATCATATTCCCAGGGACAAGAGTGAATTTTTCAGTGCAAGGGAGCAAACTATATTCATCTTACTCTCGTCGTTAAGCAAACTTGTCAAGGTAAAAGGTACCTAGGTGAAGTCTTTCAATGTGAAGTACATTGTGAAAATAATTACCAAGTTTTTCATAAAATGTTGATGTTTTTTAACAATATGACCATTTTCTATAGTGACCTCTCTGGTGAAACCGACGAAGGCCAGAAAGCTGTCAAATTGGATACAGCCGAAAGCGGCCTCAGCAGAAAACGCATGGAAAGTCAAGACGGAAAAGCCACAGCTCTACCGCCACTTTTGTCCAAAGTCAACGGAAATATTGAGGTAAGAAATCGTTATAAATCTTAATTGGACCATAATGTTCTTTGCGGTGATATATATATCGATCGTTTTATTTTGAGTGTATATCAAAGTAAGAAAAATAAAAGGAACTATTCCGAGTGACAATGGGACAGTAGCTAGCCCAAGGTGGAAATTCTGGGTTTGCCGATTCCTATACTTGAAGACAAACTAGGTTCGATGATTTTTTTTTGTAATTTCCATCATGATGCTGAAAATGTAACATTTAAAAAAAAAATTGCTGTTTTCTTTTCGTTGTGTTATTCTTTGAATATCGAATGCGTGCAATAACGATACGATGCGAGATTTAAATCAGTGATGACAAGCTTTGGCGGGTGGCAATGAATAATATTTATTTTTCAAGGTTCTTGGATTCAACGCCCGTCAACGTAATGCCTTCTTCAATGCCGTTATGCGCTATGGAATGCCTCCGCCGGATGCTTTCAACTCCCAATGGCTGGTACGAGATCTTCGAAGAAAATCTGAGGAGGAGTTCAAAGCTTACGCATCGCTATTTATGCGCCATCTTTGCGAATCTGGAGCTGATAATGCGGAAACTTTCGTCGACGGTGTACCACGTGAAGGTTTGAGCAGGCAACATGTCTTGACCAGGATCGGAATAATGTCGATGATAAGGAAAAAGGTGAGTCTTTGTCGATATTTACCTATTGAATAACCAAAGCGAATCCCTATGTGATAGGTAGATGCAACTTTGTTTTTATATGGTATAGAAAAGCCTGTGGTGTAAATTAAGGGTTTTCTCTGGAAAAGGGTGTCTTTTGAAAAGCCCTGCTATATCGGGTTGTCGCTGCTGAACTATGGGCTCAATGATATTGGGTGGTATTCCGGATATATGGGGTCATTGATCCGTAATTTCTCCCTTATCCTTACCGGGGGAAGTTTTGTGAAGGACGAATAAATTTGTTGGTTCCTCTTCTTCGGGACTTGTTTCTTCCCTTCCATTGATGTACCTCTGAGGTTCTTCCCAGGTTCCATGTTTGTTTGAGTTTGTAACAAGCTACTGTTACCATTCTTTTCGTGTATTCTCGTGTCAATGGTCACAATATTGCTTATTCTATGCAAAGTGTCTTGAGAGAGAATCTTGAAAGTAGTTTGTTCCACTTTACAGTTTTCCTGGTGTAGATCTTCGTGTTAGGTTTGTAGGTGAGGGGGGTTTGCCTGGTTGTTTCTTTTTCCTATGAACTTTTCTTTGGATTCATGTAGCTTTTGACAACATTTCCTGTAGATAGTCTTCGTTTTTTCCCTGTGTTGTGGATTATTTCACTTTGTCTTTCTTTGCTATCGATGTCTTCTAGGAAAAAGTTGCATTTAATAAAGTCGAATGCCTTCCTCACTTGGACATGTAGCCAGGATTTGTTAGGGAAGGCTACTTTTATTATCGGCTTGGCTCGATTATAATAGACCTCTTGCAGTAAATTGAAAGAGAAAAAGGATGTTTTTGCCTGTGAAAATGTAAAAAGTCAGTCTTAGAGAAACTGGTATCGAATAGAGACACATAAAAATTATAGTCCTTTTTTTTTCCATAAACCACTTAGAAGAAAAATTACAATATTTCAATAGTTAGGTAATTATTGTTTATTTTGTTAGTGATGGAGAGACGGTTTGTAAACGCCGATTCCGGAAGTTGGCCAGAGGTGAGCATAGATATGCTCACTATTTCAGTGCCGAAATTAAAAATGCAATATTAAAACTCACAGCACAACACTAGACGGTAGAGTTGAAACCAATAAAAAGTTTTCACATTAAGGGTAGGTTATTAGTAAAATGAAGGTAGAGCAACCTTCCCCAAACAATGATTCCCTTTGTGCTTATTGCGTAGAAACTTCAAAAAATTTGGAGGCCCACACTGGAAAATGAGTACCTATTTAATAGGGAACTTAACAAAAAATTTAAACATGAAAATGTTACTATGAATTGCTATAAATCATAAAAATATAATAATTAAAACATATATCAGCGAAAAAAAATATTTGTTTTTGTCGCAAATGGCCGCAATAAGGAATTAGAAATGCGGAAAGCTTCAAATTATTTCCAGCGGCAAAAAAACGCGATGCTATCGGTCGTGACGTCATCTAGTATGATCTGTCAGCAACTGTCCATTAAACCGTGAGTTCGTTTTGAAACACTGAGCACTCCGAGCATTTTCCGTCTTTTTTCCTTATGATGGGAAGAACAGGGTTAAAAGAACAAAGCAGCAGCTCCGGGCGTCTACTCGAACTCTACCATAAATACCCGTTACCTGTGTTTATGCACGTTTTTCTCTAATTTGTTTAGATTTTATCATTTTTGAGAATTGGTTTGCTTAAATTTGATGATAAGCTCAGCATTAGCATTACATAAAAACAACGATATACCTACTAATTATGACCAAAGAAGGATATATTCGAAACATATACGAAAGACCAATCCGACAATCTGCCATTTGTTGATATTGTCGCGACTTTGGATCGCCGGACAGAAATCTCGGGTTCGTTGTTCATTTCGTTTATTCCAAAAATCAAAGTCCAATTAACACAGCAATAATTTATTCCACTTAACAATACACTCTGACACTAACTACTTTAATAACTAACTCAACAATTAAACTCTTTACAATCACTATTTAAATCGTATCACAGTCGAACTGAAACTCAACTTACAAATCAATCTTCTTATATATTCCTAAATCTATTCCTGTAAAATCTAGAATACACACGATTATTCCACTCGTGTGTTAGAAATCCCATAAGACAAGTGACGATTTTCAGAATAACAGCGAAAATTCTCTCTTCCATTTGTTTAACTAGAGAGAATTACAGCGATAATTCTGCCATGTTATTCTATATATGGTTGTCATGCTAATTTTTGATACAAACAGACGGTTCGTGATAGCAACCATTTATTTGTATTGATTGTTTAGATGTTCAAATCGTTTAATACATATTTATTTCCATATTTTTTGCATTCTCATACGTGAAATAATCCTCTAAATACCACTTGAGCTTTAAAATGAACCAGATAATTTTTTCACTCATGCGTGTTTTCTCTGCAAATTTCACTCGTCCTACGGACTCGTGGACTCATGAAATTATAGAAAACACGCAATCGTGAAAAATTATCGGTAATTTTGAAGCTCTCTTGGTATTATCCCCGATAATCTAATTTTCCAGATTAAAGTAGAATAATTCGCTAGATTCTAGTATTTTCATTATCGATTCTTGACAGCCTGGCGGACGATATCGTAACAATATGTTTAGGGTAGCAAATTTTATTAAACATGGTGGGTAAAAAATTTCTTTCTCGGAGAAGTTCGTGGTGTTAAAGCAAATAAGTAAGTAGATTAGTTTTTTTTTCTGCAGTTGTTATTCTATTTCAATTTAAATCGTTTAAATCCCATTAAGATTGGCACCAGACAGTCCTTAAAGTACTTATGTGCGAGTCTTTTCTTCCATTATAACTTCAAAATTTACAACTCGCCGCAATACAAAACAACAACAAAACAAATAACAGTACTGGGAATCAACATCTTTTAAGTCATAAATAGGTAAATGATTGAAAAAAAATAAAAACTGTATAGTTTACTATTATGAACAATGACATAAGCTGATAGTGTCAGTAGCAGTAACAGTAACTTGGAACTTAAAACTTAACAGATATGAAAATAACCATTTTTTGAGTTTTACTGATAAGTTTGATAAGTTGGTTTTACGGTCGACAATGTTTTAATATTTCACTGTTACTGCTACTGTTGCTGATACTGACACTATAAATCCAGCTGGCCTTATGGAGCTATGCTCGGAGTTATGGTTTGTTTCTTGATGGTTTGTAACCCTTTTGCCTGTTTTGGAGTTTTGGACAGGCTAATAATAAAAATAAATAATGAATATAATGAATTAAAAAGTTGGGTTAAGTTTTTCATTCATTTCAGGGATGAGAATTGATTCCATATTTTGATACTTACAAATCTGTGGATTCGGTAATATCGATTAAGTTGTTCTTGCCAGGAGAAGTTTACATGGAATCCATTTGGGTAACACTGGATAAAATTGACCAATCAGAAATATGGTGTCGTGACGTCACGGAATTGTTTCCCCACCGTTATAGAGTCCAGTCAGAATGCAATCGTGCAAACCTCAGTTGGTTTTGTTGATGCCGAGGAAATAATTGTAGACATATTGATGGCCTTCGTAAATGATGTCCATCTTCTGCCAATCTTCTACGTATCGTTCTTTTACTCACATGTGCTTACTCGACGAATCATTTTCAAGCATCAGCTGCAGTGGTCATTCTCCTTCTGCTAGAGCCTTGCCGCCTAGTAAAATTTCTCGTCTGTAAACATTCTGTCACAATAATCGCGCTTGACAAACATTTTCTAAAAATAACATCGTTTTAATAAAAAAATGCTCGCAGCAGGAACGAGATGATGGAATAAATCAAAAAACGAAATGTTTAGAATACATCAAAGATAACAAGGAACAGTATATAAATAAAATTTTACACCTCAATTTTCCTACAGGGTGTTCTGAAGTTACGACCAAAAACAACAGTTTGCTTTACTCCTGTATAATAAAGTGTAATCGAAAAATGTTACTTTATGAATTAATTGGAGCAAAACGCAATAAATGGGTCTACAAACTGATAAAAAAATCACGGAAATCGGATAATAAATAAAAAAGTTATAAAACATCAAACTTGGCCGAAATTTCAGGGTGGCGGAATTTTGTGCCGGCGAGTGTAGTTAAGCTTGAAGCAAAAAAAAAAAATTAATGAAAGAAACCTACTAACAGACTTGAGCACAATTTGGTTATTATTGTAGTAGTTAAGAGCTCTTTCGCTTATTGGAATACCGAGTATGGATTCTTCCTGAGAAATGTGTCTACACCATTTCAACCTCAATTTCGGATAAAGTCAAATCAATTTCAGGAAAAGTAAAGTTAATTTCGGAAAAAGTAAAGTTAATTTCGGAAACGGTAAATTTAAATTCGGAAAAAGTAATATTAAGTATTATTTAAACAAAAAATTAGTTAGTTACATAAAAAAATAACATTATTAAAAATTATACACAAATATAAAAACATTACATGTACGTATTCCCAAATGTTCCCGAATTGAAATCATCCAGTCTTATAACTGCAGGATGAGGCCTCTGGACATGGTTTATGATCTGACACAAGTTCCAGCATTAATTTGTCCAATAGCGATGTCGGCTAGATTTTGTAGTAGTCTCCAGTCTCCCTGCATTTCTTGAAAAATTGTTTGTGGGATCCTATTATATTCCTGTATGCTTCTATAAGTTGGTGAGTCCTGTCCCTATTAAGAGGCCAACAACAAGCCGTTATAAATTGAGAAAAAGGGTTGATTTCCCGAGACGAGAACTCACTTATTTTGTAATATTTTTTGACCGGATTAGAAAATAATAAAAGATAAAAATCTAAAGAATAATGCTGTTGTTTTAGTTTTTCGAAAAAAAAAATTGCAAATTGAAAATATCACGACCTAAATACTCGAAAAAAAGCATGATTTCTATCGCTCGGTACATCCAAACCCATCGCTTTTTTAAAAAAATGAAACAAGAGCATTGTTCTAAATTTTATTATCTTTTCAAATCTTCTTGATTCACTAAAAAATATTAAGTAGTTTTTG